GCCTTCTGAGAGGTGTTCTGCGTCTTCGGGGAAGGCTTCGAAAACTTCTCAGAAGGCTAAGGGAAACTTCTGAGGCTTCAGGGAAGACCCGCTGCTTGTCATTTCCCCCCCTAACTCGCCGCCGCTAACCAGGAGGCAAGACGGGGAGACAGTCGGATCGAGGGTCTCGAGGTCGTCGTCGTCGTCGTCGTCGTCGTCGTCGTCGTCGTCGTCGTGAGGACGGATCGGTCTGCTGACCCGCTGCGGGGGCCGAGCCCAGAGCTCGGGCGCTTGAGGCAACGCCGGGGCAGACCTGGTTGGAATGGCACCTGGCAGCGATGGAAACGGACCCTGGGCTTGACGCGGCTACGGGATAAAGAGGAGGAGGAGAAGGAGGAGGTTGAAGCGCCGGTACCAGAGGAGGAGGAGAAGGAGGAGGAGGAGAATGAGAAGGAGGAGGAGAAGGAGGAGGAGGAGGACAAGGAGGAGGAGGAGGATCCCGACCCCCCCGACCTCCATGCAGGACCCCCGGCACTGCAGTCACACCAGATGCAGCTGCCATGCCCATGGAGAGCGTATCCCAAGGCCGACGAGGCTGCGGCATAGGACCACGATGCCTGCGAGTCCACATGGAAGTTCCCAGGGAACTGGAAGCCGCGAAGACCATGGAAAAGGCTCCAAGCCAATGCCTTTAGGCACCGCAGCGAGACCACGGGCGGCTACGTCATGAGCCCCCATCCCCCGTACAGGGCCGACGGCCACGAGCCCAGGCAAGCACTCCCACACGAGGGCCACCACCCGCGCAGGCCAGCGAGGTCATCGACGTCACGCCACCTGAGCATATCCCAGAGCCAGCACAGCAACGACACGGAGCTCCGCAAGAAGGTCCCCGTCGCCATCTACCAGAACAGCCGCCGCGACGAAGGTCTCAACCCTCATCAGCGTGCACTTCGGCAACCCGCTGCTAGAAGCCGCACGGGCGGTACGCGACATCGCGAGGGGCACGATTACGGGCACCATCAACACGGGGGCGCATCTTGTAAAAACTATGTGACATCCAAGATGGTGCTGACAAGCCACGCACGAACGACCACAATCAAGGACCCAGCTCCAACGCCCAAAAACTCCAACTACAAGCGAGCCTACGGCAATTTGCAAGGACTGTGGATCACGATGGTGCGTAATGGGCAAACCGAGGGATGGAACATGGAATAAGTGTACCTACACCGATACCATCGCACGCGACAGCATAGAATGGCAAGACGTCGACGACCAGACGTCCCCTCGTACCAACGAAGTCCTCACCTCCGACGAGCCGCAGCAGACAAAAGCGCACACTACGAGCGCATTTACTCCCAAGGCGCAACACTTACAAGCGGCACCCGCAGCCCCATAGCTGGTCACCGAGCCAACGACGGGCACTGTCGACGACGCGCACGCGCCGATCGTTCACACAAAGACACCACGCT